GTGTGTGTGTGTGTGTGTGTGTGTGTGTGTGTGTGTCACTTGCATGAGAAAGCCTCTCTCCAGATTTGTTTGTGCAGGAACCCCTCTTCTACCAGTGTCTCGTATCAGCCATTCATTAAAAGAGGTCTGTTAACGCCCCCTGTTGGTCGTCTGCACACTCTGCACGTCAAAAATCGGTGGCAATCATCAGACTCGAGTGAGCTGTATTTCCCCCTGTGCACTGATTCTGATCCGTGTAAACAAACATCCCCTCGGTAACACTGTGAAGGTCTTGTTAGTCTTGTCGGATGAGAAGTGAAAGGGCTCAGAGAGATTCCCCGAACATGAATAATTGAACAACCTTGAATATGTTGTCTTCTCGGAAGAAAACTAACTTTCAAACTATCTGAATCCAACCACCCACCCCCGCTCTGTCTTCCATTACAAGTGGGCTTTGATGCGAGGTTGATTGAAAGGCTAGCTAACTTTAGCGGGCTAACGAGCAGCCATCGGAGCTAGCGTTAGCTTAGCTAGCTCCGAGGCTGGAGATTCATAGTAAATAAAGAGTTTCGCGGCAGATAATGTGTTATTTAGAGGCTGTAATGTGGATGCCCCAGTCACTTGCGTTGTATGGATGTATGCCGTTCGCGTGTGGATCGAAAAGCGTCCGAAGGACTGCAAGTTACTTCAAATCTTTATGGGTGAGTAGATCTACATACCATATGCTGGGAATAAGGACCAGGTTGAAAAGAAAAAAGCCCGTCCTCTCCTCTCCTTCTGCTTTAAATTCACACTGAACTGATGACTAACTCGAGACAGGTGGCACAGGATGAACAGGTGAGCCTGATGGGGGCAGGAAGTCTGGCGGGGGAAACACGCCAGGAGCAGGGACTACAAAATAAAACAGGAAACAGAGGAACGCAGAGGGGAAGACAGGAGAAGCACAGGGTGGAACATGGAGGGGAACACCGAGATGAACAAGGGGTGAAGCACAGGGTGGAACATAGAGGGGAACACAGGAGAAGCACAGGGTGGAACACGGAGGGGAACACCGAGATGAACGCAGCGAAGCACACCGGCTGGAACACAGAAATGAAAGCAGAGGGGGACACAGGAGAGGGATACAAAGAGGGACACAGAGTGATACTTTAAACTTGAACTTAAAACTCTCTTTATAAAAGAGGACATTACAATAACCATGACAATAAACTCCAAAGCTTTACACTGACCATCACTTTTAGAGCAGTAAGGGAAATGTCCCATTCAGATGTGTTCAGGGAATCTGATATCAACCTGATTAAGAAAATAATCTGAATAAGACACTGCCATGTAAACAGGATTCATACTCAGAATAAGCAACAATTGAATTAAGACGTGGAGTATTCTGACTTTAGTAGCCTGATGTCTTAATCGCAGGATAACCTCCTGTTGGAGTTTTGACATTGACATATGGCAGTTACTAATGTATCCCCTGGGTTTAAATAAGACAGAATAAAAAGTTTTAGCTTTTGCAAATGAGAAAGTAAACACAATTTCCCAATTTCAACTATTTCAGGTTGGGGTTTTAAAAATAACTTCAGAGTGTTGTTGGCATAGTGGACGTAGTGACATGAGTCATAATCTATTCTCTGTAACTTGTAAACAGGAATATAAATGGAATATTCTATTAGCAAATCATGTGGACACCAGAATAAAGATTCAGTGTGTAGAGTTTAGTGATATCTAGTGGTGAAGTTGCATACTGCAGCTGAATACCCGTCACCTCACCCTCCCCTTTCAAACATAAGAGAACCTGTGGTACCTTTTAGTTGTTATAAAAACTCAATAGGTGTTTGGCTTATCCAGTCTGAGCTACTGTAAAAAACATGGTGGCCTCTGTAGAGAGGATCCTATCGATGTAAATATATTATTTCAATTTAAAAGGACCATTCTAGTATAAAGAAAACAACAATTTGTACAATTTAGATGAAACACACTAGTAAAAAAATCACTAGGATTATTTCATATTGAATTTCTGCTAATAAATCCATTTCAGCTACATCTAACACACTGAACCTTTAAAATAATGTCCTATTCAGAATAAGGTCAAATGTAAATGTTTGGAAAAAATTGAAAGAAATGTTCCTGGATCTGCCCCCTGATCCGAATCCACACCGAAATGTAATTTGTTCCTTTTTGACCCACATACCGCATCATTTATAATAACCTACACAATGGTTTGTGCATAATCCTGTTTATTAATAGGGAAACCAATGCAGATTCAATCTCATTGGCGGAGGTAATGCGATTGTGAGATGATGGTGGTGTTTAACTATTGCATTTCCAGAAACCTTGAAGTGGGCTTAATTGCCAAAACTGGCAACTGTAATAAGAGAATGTTGGAAACTTTAGAAGAAGAAGCCAAAATGTCCTTTTGAGTCCCTTGTTGACTGGACCCTACACAGTGTATCTTCAGAGAAAAGTCCACAAACAGTTAAAGCCTCCGCTGGTGCTGGTCTGAAGCAGAGCTGCTGTGAAAGCTTTCTTGACCATGTTGCCCGAGTCACTTCCACATTAAGCGCAAATCAAGAGTCAGTTGAGACATCAAAGTCCGACCCTGCGAGGCCTCATCAAAGCAGAGACGAGACAGATCTGTGCCTCACCTCACAGAAGCATGTCTCCTCCTAATGTGAAAGTGACAACTTGTCTGCTCCGCTTACTGCAAAATGAAGGAGTAAATTTCCCTGCGAGCAGGTGGGGTCGCAGGGAAAGTAGAGAAATGCCTATCAATTAGCTCCACCTTGTCAGATTTGCACTGAAAGGTCCAGAGAGACAGGAAATGAAAAAGAGATTTGAGTGTGTGCACATGTGTGCAACAAGGGTAAAAAATGAGAAAAAAAGATTTTGTACGTTATGTACATGAGGATGACAGCAGCTGCCAGCAGAAAGAAACACACTCTCCCAATCTTACTGTTGCTTTTTATTTTACTGCCCTGTTACATTACAAACAGCTGCACCTGTAATACTGCAACATGACGGATCCCCATCAAATCCCCGTGGGTCACAGGTCACATGTTGGGCCTCTCATTTCCACATGCACTGCTGCAGCGATATCAGCGAAATCACCGTTGTTGCATTGCATTACTTTGGGGCCGGTGTGTTTTCTGTGTAGTCTCTGTCACCTGTTTTAGTTTCTAATCATAAGTTAAGTATATTTTTGTATTATTTATATATAAGATACAACACTTTGCCTTTAAAATTCTAGATTGATTGAAATGATGACATATTTGAATCATTATGGATGGACAGACGGAGAGTGCAACAAAACTACAAACCAAGAAACAGAAGTCTATAGTTTGATATAGCTGATCGACTGTGAGTTCAACAACCAGGGGCTGACTAACCTTCTGTTTGATAAGCTTTTTTGAAATTGCCCTTGGTCACATGTGTCTCTTTCACCTTTAACTTCAACTCAACCAAACTACCACCGGCGTCAAACCCCTTCTCTGAATCTCATTGGTCGGCTGTGAGAGTGGTCGTCCGTACTGACTTCCTATTGGCTCAAACCGCACGCTCGCTGCCAGCGGGGTTGTGTGTCGCATCAACGTGTGTCAGAAGGAGTCTTACCTGCTGTCGGGGAAATGGCGAGCTGGTGTGTCCGAGCGGTGAGACAGGGCTACTCTCTGGTAGCCTCGCCCGCGTTGATACGGTGAGTGGCGTTTGTTTTGCTAGCTTTTACAGAAAGGGTGAGGTTACCCCGCTCGGGCGGTGCTAAAGCCCTGTTGTGTTCTGCCTGTGCCCGGCTAGCAGCGTTAGCTTACCTAACGGACCGTGGTCCTTAATGTGGATAAACACACACTTAGACAAACCATAGAGACGCGTGTGTCTGTCTGTGTCTCTGTGTGTGTGTGTGGAGGACATGGCTAAGACACAGCAGGGCAGTGTATGCTAGCTGTTAGCATGTCACTGTGAGAACCGGAGGATGACATAAGGCGACATACCCATAATGCTGTAGAGGGATGTTAGTTCATGCTAAGCTAATGTTCAGGCTGTGCGTTTTGTGGCGTTTAACCTTGTGTGTGTGTGTGTGTGTGTGTGTGTGTGTGTGTGTGTGTGTGTGTGTGTTTACATATGTTAAGTGTTTTTTGGTGAAGGAATGAATTCCCAACCAAACTCCATGCACAAAGTCACGCATTTAACGTTTCCTGTCACCAGTAACGAAACCTTTTCCTCTTGCCTGGTGTGTCATAAGAGTTCAAGTGAACAAAGCGTGAATGGAGTTTGGCTGAATGTTTCCCCACTCATCCATCTTTTAGAGAGATGATTTCATGAAGTGACATATGCTGAGATCAGCCACTAAGTAGGATGATTGCAAGCCAACACTTGACTATTGAATGACATTCAGGGTAGTTAGTTGCATAACATTCTTATTAGTTGTCTGATCCCATCAACTAGCAGACCTGTACTGAAGACCAACCTAATCTGACTCCTGGAAAAGTTGAAATAACATGCACAGCACAGACAGTATCTAAAATCTCTCAGGTGTTCAGATACTGGATGTTAAAGGAGATGTCATAGAACTCTACCTCAGCCTTTTTCCTCTGGGAAATAAAACATCTTCAGTAACAACGACGATAACCATGCAGAGATTCTAGATACTGTAGATGTGAAGTTAATCTATTTTACTGTTGCCCAGTATCATCATATAGAAGCTGAAGTGGCACCATGCAGAGATACTTGATATACTTACATGAGAGGTTACGCAATTGAATATTGGTGCAGAGCGTAATTAGGTGAGGTGGCAGCCAACAGCTCTAGACTAACGACGTATTCTGTGACTTTTTCCACAACAGAGGGTCTCCAAGATATTTATGTGCGGCCACTCAGCAGAGGAGTGGCCCCGGGTCTGAGGAGGAGGCTGAGAAGCCGGAGCAGGGTGCAGCAGAGAAAGCCCTGACGGAGGAGAAGTCCCTGCTGGAGGAGCAGCTCAAGGAAATGACAGTAAGTCTGAAACTGAGACAAGAAAGTTGGGCCTTTGGTCCTGAGAGCTGATTTTTAAACTTTGCATTTCTGCCATGCTTCCCAGGATAAGTACAAGCGGGCCTTAGCTGACACAGAGAACCTCAGGACACGGAGTCAGAAGATGATAGAGGATGCTAAATTATACGGTAAATTCTTCCTTCATTTAAGCTTGCTAACAGTTAACCCAAGATTTCCACATAACAATCTCCTGCAGCAATGAATCCTATTTTTCTACATAAATAAATTCTATTGCAGCTGCATGCATGTAGTCCAACCACTAGATGTCAACATCTAGCATTACTTCACTGTGTCCGAGTGACAGACAACTTGTATTTGCACTGCTGAGTAATGTTTTCGTTCAATCACCAGGGATCCAGGGCTTCTGCAAGGACCTGCTGGAAGTGGCCGACATCTTGGAGAAGGCCACGGAGAGCGTGCCCAAGGAGGAGGTGACGAGCAACAACCCTCACCTGAAGAACCTGTACGACGGCCTGGTGATGACTGAGGTCCAGATCCAGAAAGTGTTCACCAAGCACGGCCTGGTCAAGCTCAACCCCGAGGGCCAGAAGTTCGACCCCTACGAGCACGAGGCCCTCTTCCACGCCCCTGTCGAGGGCAAGGAGCCGGGCACTGTCGCCTTAGTGACCAAAGTGGGCTATAAGATTCACGGACGCACCCTCAGGCCAGCGTTGGTGGGTGTGGCCAAAGCCCCCTAGAAATGCTTGGGGAACTGTGACAAAGTGGGATATGTTTTGTTGCCTGGGTGACGGATGACCTCAGGTACAGTCGACTGGCGAAGGCACACCACCACCCTTTTCCCTGTCCTCACTACCCCTCCACCCTAAGGTGCCTCGGAGAGATGGGAATCCAGCTGAAACGAACCTTGTATCGGGACAAAAACCATGTTGTTAACACTTTGTCAAGCACGGGACAGTTTTTACTGTAAAATGTCAGTTAGTCATCAGTCATGTGTCATTTCAGGCAGTTTCCGTCAGATCATTAAAGTAATGTACCCGATCGTGAACCCCTTAAAATTGAAGATTTTTTGGGGGGGTGACATATGGTGCAAAATACATCCACAAATTGAGTCTGAACTGCTGGTATCATTCCAGACTTTTGTTTCTGAGTTGATTGTGTGAATAAAATGAGAAACAGTACTTAAGTATATGAAGAAAGGTGGAAGTTTTACTGTGTACTGAGGTAGGCCTTCATCAGCATTTACATGGAAGACATCTCTGGTTCATTTGGATGTGATCAGGCTCCCGTAAGCCAGCCTCAGTTACAGTAATGCCCCTGTGTCTCGTTTGGCAGGAATGAAACAGTCACATATCTATAAACCAATAGAATAAAGAAGTGTTTTGACCAGTTTGTCCAGACTGTCACAGTATCACAATAATCTGAAAGACTTGTTCCTTTTACACATTTTATCTTCAAATAAATGAAACATAAGCTCTTGATCATATTCATTGTGTCTTCAAGTGAAACAATCAGCCTCTACCTGCCATTAGTAGAAGTACTTCACATGACAGTGGACTCGTTTTACTCACATTAAAGAATAAGGGTGTTGATAAATACACCAACTACAAATTCCATGAGTTCCAAATGTCCAAGTTAATTAAATGATTTTATAAATTAGGGCTAATCCAAAACCTGATATCTTAGTCCAGTGTAACACAGAGCTAATTTGAACTCCACCCAAAGCCACACTTGGTTAAGGAAGTCAGAAAATCTAATAACATGCAAAAACCAACTGTCAGTTTGTATTTTTTTGATTTACTGTAATCAAATTACTCGGTACAGGTCATGTCTACTGTACTGTTTGCCCTACTAACTGAAAACTGAAATTTCTATGATAAAATTTCTTTCAAACATCGTAACCAATGTGACCTCATCTAAACGATGCTCAGACGTCCACACCTTGATGAACAAGTCCTCGACTACAATGTGTTGAAGATGAAACAGGACCATTTAGAATAATAAAGTAGTGGCACTTTTAATAAATCTCCATACAAACCTCGTCGTGTGCGACAACAAGGTGACGGGTCACTAACACACCTCAACAGTATCAGACCGGTAACATGACCAAACGCCATCACGATACCAAAAGCCTCAGAAAATCATTCTTTTGTCATCTGATTTTTTTTAATTACAAAAAACTATAAAAAAAAATTCAATGACAAAAATACTGTACATTTCACAGGTCAGTAATTATACTTTCTTTTTTTTTTTCAATGTATCTTACAAACGTATTTACAGTTGGTGACATAAAGTGAGCGACCCCCTCCCCACCCTCCACCCATACAAAAGTCATCGTTCCCTCCAATGGGAACAACAAGAATCTGACGGCCATATTTTCCTTTTGAGACATTTACGCCACAACACTTTGGAACATTCGGGAGCACAGACAGAATGACACCGGCAAAATCTGGAGAAGAGAAAAATGACAAAGCATCAGATAGCTTCAGCTGCCAATGTCGTCGCTGTCAACGTTGTTACAGGAGGGATATTAGCATCGCCTCTCTGACACACTGAGTCAGACGGACTGTTGGCCCTATGAGCCGACCCCTGAACAAAACAAGCTTATGTCTTATTTTAACAATACAATGCTTCAACCAACCCGTGACAGTCGACTAATACATCTAAACACAACATGTTTGAAATGGGTCTAAGTCTAAAAATGAATCACTGTGACGGTTTTTCTATTGAATTGTCAGTGTGTTGCTGCGTGGTTCTACTGCAAAGAGAAATCCAAAAGATACGTTTTTCTTAGTGTCAACAAACCAAGCAAAACAAAACTTTTCTTAAAATTCATCGAGCCTGTGTGCAAATGTACATTTTCTTAAAACAGCTGTAGTTTTTTTTCCCACGATATAATTTTTTTTGGCAAATGACTTTGAGGACTATTTCCCGTGGCGGATTAATACACATTTGGTGTCAAAGCTATCCATCCGTTCTACTGCTTATCCTTTGGGGGTTGCTGGGGGGGGGGGGGGGTTGGAGCTGTACTGATGCCAGCAAGTTTAGTAATTGTTGGATGAATGGATAGTTTTGTGGAGGAACGAAATCAGGCTTTATAGTTAGTCAGTGTGTTGTCATGGGCCCTGTTCCAGCCGGTACATCCGTCCTGAGAGTTCTGATCACAAGTGGTCAGCCCCAACCTCTCCTGTTCACACCTCGTATTAGAACGCGCCCCGAAATGTTTCCTGTGAGCTCTTGTGATCCTTTCTGTTAGCCAAGGTGCTGTTTCGACCAGTCTGCATTTACAGATGTGTCCCTTGTCATTGCAATTGTGTGAATCTTTGAGATAGAGAGAGAGAGAGAGAGAGCTTTATGATGAATTTGACCAAATGTGGAGTTTCATTTGTGAGGCTGAAATAGATTTGTGGCCCTAAATAGATGTTTTTTGATCAGCTTGTCACCATTAGTAAATTACAGTAGAGCACTAGGGTTAGGAATAAGAAAAAAAGTCAGAAGAAATTTTCAGATTAAAGTCAAAATGTCAAAAATAAAGTTGAAATGTCAAGAACAGTCTCTGGCAGCTGCTTGTGGAGTTTCTCCTCCTGAACAGACTACATCTAAAATCTAATAATGATTATCACACTGTGTTTATGGCTAAAAGAAAAATAATTTCCCTGTTACTAAAACTCATTCTGAAGCCGGCTCATCCAGGTAAGGTGTTTTTAAGAGGCAGTCAGATGCTTTTGATTTATTCTTAAAGTTCGACTATAATCTTGAAATGAACATTCGTTATCAAAACACAAAATGGATTTTTCTTAAGCCAGGTCCTAATGCTCTCCTGTAGTGCATGGCTCATACATGAAGTTCCCAGTATTTCAGTTTTTCTCTGTGTTACTGAGCTTAGTTGGAAAAATGTAACTGTCAGGATTTGACATTCACAATCTGAATAAATAATACCTAGAGATTTCTTTTTTAAAAATACAAATATAATTTGAATGAATATTTGTTTCTCAGGAACCATTTGTGGGAAGTTTTGCGTTTGAAAAGAAAGAATTTGACAGCGCTCTCTGATGGACAGACTCTGTAATGCAACACTGACCTCCACATTATCTCCTCTGATATCTTTGGCACTTATTGTTTACTCACTGGCCAACCCCCCCCATACCGATACTTAAGCAATCTTTGATAAGGTTTTTTTTAGCTTCATGCTAATGCGTTTGTTGAGGCATGATACTAACAAACAACGACGATCTGCTTTTTCTTTTCCTTCCCTTGTCGCCATTAAGAAAGAAACGGGACTAAAAAAAACGACAGCTTCTGGGAAATGAAGTCCTTAAAAGTATCAGACAGCTCTACTTCTTGTGGGAAAGTTACCGAATCCAGCTTTCACTGATGAAACAGGAAACAAAGTTGACAGGAATCACAAACCACAATGGTGATTATTTTAAACGTAGGTGTGAAACGCTCCACTTCCAGCAGATGTAAAGTTAGATTTTAAATACATCTCCTTAGGCATCTTAAATGAAGCTGTTGCAATAACACTTCAGTATCTCCATAACTACATTATGTTTGTTAGCAGGGTCAATATCATCGTGTAATAACAATATGGACACAAACCTACTGTGAACCCACAGATTCATATTCAACCCGTCCCTTTCCAAATGCAAAAATAAAGGCTTATTTTTCTTCCCAGCCTTGGTATGAAAATAAGTGTTTTTCCCAGCATCCTCCTTCTTTGCAATGTACATATTCACAAAGTCACCTTTGAATAAAAAAATGGTGAATCCCAGTAGTTTTGTTCGGCCTCCACAGTTTATATCCAATCAGCTATCAGCTGCCTGACCAAAGGAATATGCTAGGAGGCGTCTCGGGATATCCAGCCGCTTTCTGTGAGGAAGGTGAGGATGCGCTTCTTGAGGACTTTGTCCAGGTAGCTGGGTAGTCGGCTCTTGGCGGGGATGCCTTGCCGTTTCTGCAGGTGATCTTTGATGATGATGGTTTTGACAGTCAGGTAGCGCGCTGGGCTGAGGTTGAGAGAGTTGCACAGGACCTTCTCTCTGTCCGACAGCAGCTCAAAGCCTGTCAGATTCTCGATGGCAGCAAACTCGCCATCTTTGCCTTCTTCTTTGATCCCGCCTCCTACCCCTAACCCTCCAGCAATGCCTCCTCCCCCTCCAGCTCCACCTCCGAGCCCCATCCCCGAGCCAAGCCCGCCTCCTCCTCCGCTGCCCCGTTTGGAGGTGACCACACTTTTGTTCTCTTTGCGCTTTTCCCGTTTGTGGCGTGCGGCTTCATACTCGGCGGACTCTTCCAGGCGGGTGATGCCGTTTCGACGGTAGCGCTGCAGCTCACGCACCTTGGCCCTCAGCCCGCGCTCTTTATGCATGTTCTCGAAGAAGTCTTCAAACTCCCGATGGGCCATGAACTGGCACAGCCCCCGCAGCCTCACTCGCTGCTCCTTCTCTTCCTTGGTGATCTTTCTTTTGGGTGTACTTGGAACAGAGCCTGATCCTGCTGCAGTTGCCAAACCTGATCCGATCGTGCCACCGCCAGCTCCCGCCCCGCCCACACCACTAGCAGTGCCCACAACTCCTTGTGCTCCTGGTTTCTCCTTCTCCTTGTCTTTCTTGTCTCGGCCGAGGAACACAGGCACCAGGTTGTAGTCTCGGGCAATGTTTTTACGTCTCTGTCGTTCTCGGAGCTTCCGCACATACATGTCCACGTGGGCACGTTTCATCTCAATTTCCACGTCCTCGTCGTCGTAGTTCACGGAGAGGCCGCTTATGAGCTTCTCTGCGTCCTGGTCATATTCAATCTCATAATCGTCACGCAGAGGCATGTAGCCCAGCTGCTGCTGCTCAGCCAGGGTGATATCCAGTGGGGGGAGAGGGGTGGTCAGGCTGGGCGACAGGGGACCCCCACTTGGGCAGGTGTGGTCGGTTACCCGGTTGGGAATATTGTCAGGGATGCAGGCCTTACCCAGGTTTCCGTGGATGTACATGGTGACATAGTGTTCCATGACTTCCTGAGGGGTACGTGATGCTCCAACATGAGCGGCCATGTCCTCCTGAAAGATGAAAAAAGGTTGGTATTAGTAAGGATAGAAAGTTTATGAAAGTTTCACCTGGTGAAAGTCTAACCCTGGTCAGAGAGAGGATCAGCTATCTGCGGAGCGTTCAGGTGAGCCAGCCAGAGGCAGGGCGTTATTGTAAATTCTGCTGCGGAGATCATGTGTTTTTGTTTACAGCACAAATCATATATTTGTTGTCTTTTTGTCTTCTGTCTGTCACATGTCAGAAATGTTATCAACCCCCCTACTTGCTCCCGGTGAATCCTACGGAGGATTTCCTGCCGTGTTCTCACATTAGCTCCCCCGGACTTTACACAAGGGGACTGGCCAGAGAAAGTCTGCAGAAAGTCTGGAGGCTCTTTCTCTCTGACTTTTGCGTTCACTCATACGGTCCCTCCAGAGAATACCGGAGGGGACCTCCGTAGTTCAGCGCATGTCTGAAAGCAACTTATGGCTCAGGCATGGGCGAGAAAGATTTCTGCATTAGCTGACTGAGCCACCACAGCGAGGACTGGACTGTTTTCCTATGAGTCTCTCACTCATGCAAACTTTACTTCCAGAACTTCCACCTCATTATCAATAAAGCTCGATTATGGCCCTGGACCAGACTCTGTGCATTATAAAAACAATATCATAATGACTTTATATATACAGCACTTCTCCAAACAAGGTTACAAAGCGCTTCACAAAAATCTGTGGCAAAAATGCAATGAACTAAAGTAAAAGGCAAATCAATCCAGTTGAGATTCGTGCTGTATAACAATCTTCTATATTGTCTTTGACGTTGTACACATTGTTTTCTCTGTCGCCTGATCTTTGACATGTTACTGACGCCATGTTGGACTTTGAAAGACACTTTCCAAACCCACACTTCAGAGTTACAAGTGACAGAGATGCTGTCCCACTCGTGTTTAACGTCCACTCGTCCAACTCGCGGGACAGGGTGGAAAGAAGATGGACAGTCGGTAGTTCGCAGCATTGTCTCTAACTTTCAGCCCCTCTCAGATCTCCTATCGGACAAATGGAGAAACCTAATCGACTTAATTAAACAGTGATGTACCCAGTTTCCAAACCCGTACTGCTCGATCGCATCGAGGAGCGACTGCTCTTCCCTGCTGGTCCATCCTCCCTCTGCCTCGGGACCCCAGAGGGAGAAGCGGCCGCCGTCGACCTGCTGGTAGCCGTGCCATCTCCGGTGGTTCCCGATCTCCGCCCCCGCCGAGAAGCACTCCGGGCACAGCTCGATATCGGGGCAGTCGGTGCAGCGGAGCCGCAGGTTGGTGACGTCCGCCAGGCAGTTCACGCAGTACTTCTTGCCCAGGTCGGCCATGTTGCCTGGATCCTGCTTCTTGTTGTCGGAGGCTGAACCCCGCGCATGCGCACCGCGGGCCCCGCCGCGCGAGCTGCTCAATATTAATGAGCTGCGGGAAAGGGCGCCGGTGATTGGCTCCCCAGTCTCCAGGACAACGAGCGGAACAGATAGTCAACTAAGATCTGCAACAGCACCTGCAGGTTGTTTCTTCTGGAGTGAAAGATGGACAGAGATCACGGAGGACAGGAGGTGAAGACACCGGAGGACAGTCTCACTTCTCCAGCTAATGGGGAAGAAGGGGTCCCCGCTGTAATGGAGGCCTCACACCATGAAGAGGAAAACTCTGCAGCTCCTGAGAGGCCTCCTGTTGAAGCAGCCTCCTCTGAGAGCGGAGCTCAGCGTCCTGCCATCGACGGCCTCACCGCAAGTGAACACGTGCACGAGGACGGTGAGGGGCCAGTGTCCCACGATGGGACCCCGGAGAGCGAGGGGACTCAGAGCCCTGCGCATGAAGGGAAGGAGGCCGAAGAAGAGGAGATCGACCCTACACAAGGTGAAGATGAGGATGAGCAGCTTCTCCAGGAGCTGTGTGAGGAGAGAGATAAAGCCCTCCAACGCAACGGCCAACTGCAGCAGCTGCTGGCTCAGTACTTCAGCAGGTCCGGAAACGCTGTCAAGCTGGAGACACTCGGCCCAGAGCGTCTGCCGGGGTACGAGAAGTCCATCAACATCCTGACCGACATGAAACAGCGGTTCGCCTCGGAAGCAGAGGCGGCCCAACAGAAAACAGAGGAGCTGAGGTCACAGTCCCAAGCGAAGTCGGACGAGGTTGGTCTTGTTGTCAGGTTGCTTTGGATTTCCTAACACCAGTTTCCAAGTGTTGAGAGCTAAATGATGAACTAAACAGGGGTAGACCCAGAGGCACAGATATGGGGGCCACTGGCCCTGTAGTGGGAATCTGATTTCCCCCATCCTGTCAGTAGTATTTTATTAATAGATATAACAATAAATGTGGAAATTTTGTTAAGAATTATCAGGAATTGTTCATGGACTGGAAATATCACCATTTGAGTATATTGGGGGCCCTCAATGGCCCCTGATTTCGAAAAACCCTAATATACTGCATATTTATATACATGTTGATTTTGCTATAGATTGTTATACTCATATAATAGTAAAATAAGTGGACACTATGAGAACTGTCAGTGTGTGTGCATCTCTGGTGTGGGATAGTTTGAGATTACATTCAACATAACTGACATAACCCACCAACATCTGTAGGGATCAAGTAAAAATAATGTGATTGTGTTACATTGATTTTTATCCTTTTTTTTTTTTTTTCAAATTTCCATTTAGAGTTGAATATTGGAACCCTTTAGATGCTCCCCTGTCTCTGCAGGAAAACAGGAGTACAAGGGGTCTACACATGCTGCTACACAGTCAGCTGGATGGATGTGACATGAGTACTGAGCCATGCGCACATGCTTTCACGACTCTGTGAACAGGAATGGGAAGACAAACTTGGGAATAACTAAAGTCTTGTAGGAATTCAGAGTGTAAAATATAGCGAACATTGCAAAAACAATTAATTTTATAGACATATATTGTCATATGCCTGCACATAGATATATAACAATATTGTTGCGTGTGTTATGTGCTGATCAGTGGGCTAAACTCTCTCCTCCTCAGGTGAAGAAGGAATGGCAGGAGTTCGTGGCACTGAAGCAGGACGTAGGTGTGACAATGCTTAGTCGATCCCTGGGTAAACGAACGGCTCAGGCCAGAGTGAAATCAACGCTGGCGGCAGAGCAGCTTAAACATGACAAGCTGATCAAGCAGCGGCTGACGTACGTGAAGCTGAAGATGAGGGTCCAAGGACTGGAAGCCGAGCTCCGAGCACTCGAGGAAGCCAAGGACCCTGTGCAGGTCTTGGTTGCACAGCTGCATGCTACAAGGTTGGAGCAGAAAACACTCACGGAAAGGCAAAATGAGGAAGCGATAAGGCTTCAGAACAAGATCAGCCGCAACTTGGAGGTAGGTTGAAGAAAGCACAGATACAGATTGTGTCAGTTATTTCTGTTTTCTGCTTCCAGTTCCAGTCAATAACATAAAGTCACTATTTCTCCATAAGCTCCTGTCAAACATAAAGGAGAAGCTGTTCTGGAGTCAGAGGGAGGTTCAGGCCTTGCGAAAGCAGCTGGCAGAGTTGGAGGAAGAGGTGGCGAGGAAGCGAGAAGTCCGAGCCGCGACCAAGAAACAAATCAGAAAGCTGAAGAGGGACAACCAGAGGCTGAAGGAGAGCCAAGGATTACTGGGGTACCGGCTCCAGCTGCAGGACTTCGAGGACACTGTGGATGCCTGTGACCACCTGGAGGAAAAGCTGGAGAATCTGATGTGCCGCCATTCTGAGCTGCAGAAGAAGATGAAACGAGAAGCTGGAGTCCCCTTAAAGAACTGAATGAGCAAAAGACTGACACGGTATCGATGTGAAAAAACAGATCAGGGACGAAAACGAGTTCCAGGTCTTCAAATTCACAGTTTTATCTCATTAAGTGCCTCGATGTAGAAAATGACCAATTCTGAGCGTTTTGGTTGGCAAATCATTCGGTACGTGATTTGCAGAATTGCTGACTCCATCACTTCTAAACAATTTAACATGATTCTCCAATCAGCTCTTAACAGCAGCTTTGAATTTGAACTGCATGTCCATCTCTTATGAGCCCCTAACACTTCTGGGACTACACATTTTGTTTTTCCACACTTCAAATAAAATGATATTTGATCATTTTAATGGTTGAAGTCATTGAACCACCATTGTTGCATCCCTCCATTTTCTGTCATGTCTCTGCCATTACTGTCAGTCTGTCTTTACTAATACTAGTTACAACACAACACATTCAGAACACCGGCACGTAAATATATACACACTAAATAGTTTTGAGCAGACATTTTTTATGAATGTACATAAAAACAAAGATTTAAGCAACGCCAACCATTACAATGATACAATTAGAATGAGCTGATTTGACATCGGGGAATGCAATACGATAAAAGTGCGTTTGAAGCTTTGAAGCTCCTGACTCAGTCTGTCGTGTTTCCTCAGGCAGGGTGTTCCTAAACCTCTGAGCTCTTATTTCAAAAGCTCTGGTCCCGATAGTCTTTAGCTGAGAGTCTGGATCAGTTCAAAGGCCCCTGCCAGAGGGTCTCAAAGTGCAAGCAGGGTTATACGGGGATAAAAGAGCCACGATATACTGTGGAGTCAGTCCATTCAGCGCTTTGTCAGTCATTTGTTTCTGAACTGTAAAGAGTCTGAACATTCTTCCACTTGTCTCAACTACTCAAACTGTCTTATGTGGGTCTTGCCCCCTGTTTATGTAATCTGACATTAAACACTGACATGATGGATGATGATTATTCCCACAGGTTTCCTTTTTCCTACCGAGGAGCTTCAAGAGTTAATGAATCCCTTCAGCATCTGGATCCACACACTGGAAAATAGTTTCGCCTCAGACTTTGCACACATCCCACATGGTATGATGGCACTTGAGCAACACTGAATGTCAACTAAAGATGCCAAAGGAGGCCCGAATTTTTATATTTTGGTGATATTCACCATTTACCACGTATCGGCCACTTTGGGTTCTCATCCATTTTATCACGAGAGGCCAGATGTGCACCATCACTGCCTGAAGTGGACCACACCAGTATTATATCTGGGTACCACTGTACCAAAAATGAACCATCACAATGTCACACAAAAAAAAAAAACCCTCATCTGTGACTGCTCCCATCCTGCTCACCATCTGTTTCAACTGTTACCCACTAAGAGGCGCTACAGATCCACACACACCAAATCATTTCTTCCCCCCAACGACCCCGAACTCTCTGCAACAACCATGACGGACACTTTAAAGACGCTGCACTGTTACTTTACTGTCCTGTCCATATTTGATCTTGTGTCATTATGTAGGGTCGCGGCTCAGTCCATAGAGATTTGGCTTGGGAACCGGAGGGTGGCCGGTTCAAGTCCAGCATGGAAGTATGGAAGGTTGGGCTGGTAGCTGGAGAGGTGCCAGTTCACCTCCTGGGCACTGCTGAGGTGCCCTTGAGCAAAGCACCGAACCCACCAATTGCTCGCAGGGCCCTCCCCCAGGGCTGCCCATCACTCTACCATCTCTGACCATATTTGCATGTCTATGAGCCCTCTGTGTGTGTGTGTGTGTGTGTGTGTGTGGGATTGTGGGTTAAAAACTGCATGTATTTAAAAAAAATGAGTGTAAAAAGAATTTCCCCTTTGAGGGATTAATAAAGTATCACTTTGTTGCTATCGACGCCTTTGTCGTTTTTATGTTAATATTTGCTTTAAAATGTTGTACACATGAAAAATCCCATGGCCTTGGTTGTGCGGTCATTACGAAATGATTGTGATATGTGTGACAGGAAGCTGAAATAGGCTGCAGCAGTGGAAGAGTCAGTGCACACCACCATGTGGTGTTCCATCAAACAGCCGCCAGGTTTACTATACTTCACTTAAACTTCTCAGTGGGTTTTTTTCACAGGTTAGAAAAAATGGAAGAGGAAACAAATTTTTTAAAAGTATTAATTTGCCTCGCAGGGCTTCCATAGAGGGACATAGGATTAGACCTTACACCGGCTATATAATATAAATGTAAACACCAGGTATTAAGATTGTATAATAGCTATCATTAATGTGATGTAGTGTAATTCTATGTATAAGTCAAACACTCCCCAGCTGTAGCACATTTCTTCTTGTGATGGGTCCAGAAGTATTAAGTGATAAAAAGTAAAGTAACTTTCTATCTTGTTTTTTCCTCACATTTGTTTTCTATCAAAGAAGAGAAGAGACAAAGTTCTGACACGATCGACTGCGTATGTAAAATGTTTATTCTTTATGATAATTGTGGATAGTACAAAGCTTTCAAAACAAAGTGCACAAACAGAAGTCTGGTTCAGTCATGGCAGGTTTGCATATTAATAGGGATATCATTTTGATTTAATTCAGCAACAGACAGGAAGACTTTTTTTTTTATTTTCAGACCGGCAGCTGGTTTAAAAATTTTTTTCATCCAAAAATTTCATGATGCCCTGAACCCACTGGACATCTGGATCCACACAGATGTGACGAGACTTCTGTGTCACTAAACTGAAACATAGGAGGGAAATGTTAGTGTCAACTTTGTCCACTTTTTATGAGAATCTTTAAAGGATGCTAAACAGATTCAAGAAATGAGAAAATAACTTTAAATTTGGAGTGAATGCAGAAATGACAGAACAGCAGATGTATGATGCACATAAACAGCTAACCAAAATTTGAATTTATCATTTAAAATGAATGGCGGAGACTTTCTTATTAAAATGATGGAAATTAAGGTTATGAAGTGTGAGGGACGTGCAAAATGTGTTTTCTTTCTATTTTTCTAAAGTGGAATTAATCATGTATTAATAGGAATGAATTCAAAGTCACTTTTTACACTTATTTACGTTGGTGCATCAAATATTGTGATGTAAGCTCATTATTCAGCACTTACATGACGCCCATCTTCGAACACCTGGAGTCAGTCATGTAGTATGATTTGATCAGAGTTTTCTTCACTCGTCTTGAGTAGAAATTGAAGCAGCAGTCATCAGGACCCAGGGCGTCTGAAAAGAAAATGTCGACCAATGAACCATCAACGCCTCTGACACAGAACAGATTTAAAATATTAACATGTTAGTCCGTCTTACTGTTGCAGAGCACTGGGGCGAGCAGTGCAGCTCCCAGGATACACAGCAGCAGGACCTGAAGGGGCCTCATGGTGGCTGGATGGAATTGTCTGGCGACGGAGATGATGGAGATGAAGACGACGGCTGCTGCGAAGGGCTTCTAAGAAAAATGTGTTGGGGGGGGTTATGTTTATTAAGAAAGAAAAAGGTGTTACCTGTGTGGAGAGGGGAGGGAGGGCTCTTGTGGTTTTAAAGACAGGCTTTGCTTGTTTGGTTGATTGCACAGGAAATGCAGTCGCGGTCGGAGATGTAGCTCAAAGCAAATACACATATAGACACATTTACAGATTTGAAATTATTATTTATGATAGCTATTGATAAAAGGCTTTAATTCCTGTTGACGTTAAGGGACAAAACTGAAGATGTGTCCCTAACATCCACCAACATCTTATACACCAGATATTTACAGTATATATGTGTATATGCAGTTGGTCATATGGGTATGACACATGTGGGGACCTTGGTTAAGGTTAGACAAGCTTATGGTTAAGGTTAAAGTTGGTGTCCAGGAAATTAATCTAAGTCATCGCAATGTCGTCTGAAGTTGTGTGTGTGTGTGTGTGTGTGTGTGTGTGTGTGTGTACCCGCAGTCTCTTCCTCACTCCTTTGATTCAAAGAGATAAACAACACAATCGTAGTGGAAATAGAAGTCCATCAGACAACAGGAAGCAACAGTCTACAATGCAATTCTGCAACATGACTCATCGCCATCAGATTAGAGCAGCACAAGTCAAAATGACTATACTTTTTGTTTATACTCTTTCACTGTTCTTCTCTCACTGCTCTCTTCAACTTCATTCCATTACCATCGGGCAAAAACAGCCAAACCAACTGTCAAACAAAGAGCAGCAGGCAAAGTTAGAGTCTAGCTGGTGAACAAAGTGGAGCACGAGCTGATAATATGTCTGGTGTTTCCCTCAGAAGTTGCTGAAAACCAAAACAGAGCTAAAAGGAGGCAAAATACTGGATTTGCATTCATCAGGTGCCCCCTTAACCCCCCTAAAAGCATCTATCGTGGACATAGGCCCATGTTTAACAATAATGTAGGAGCACATTAGCTACTAAGAGTTGAGGAATGATCCTCTGGGAAATCTAGCCATTCAAAGATAAAATGGTTGCTCCTGGTTGGATATGTACAGCTCTTTATTTTAATAAAACCATTGTTTATATACATTTCAAGTGAGATACAGTTGCATGGTGACGCTCCGTTGTCTCCATGTGTCCATCACTCCTCTACAGTACACAGGTCTCAATGAGAAAAATGAAAGACAAGGCAAAACAAACAGAACCCAAGTAAAGACATCCAGATAATCAAACAGATCGATAACAACAGTATATTAGACTCCTTCATTTCATTTAAGCTTGATTGAATTTGTTTTTTGATATAATCTGTGGATTATGGTGTTCATGTAGTGCTAGTGGAGCTGGGAGGGGCACTTTGTGGAAAATGGACAAACTATTTAAACCTGGTGATGTGAGGAGGAGGTGATAACTCAGAGGCTTACCAGGTGCCAAAAGCTTTATTGCAGTCCTGCGGTGAATCACCACACTGGGTGGGCGGTTGTGTGCAAAGAGAGGAGCAATCAGACGCCCTGCAGCACTGTGCAAGGGTGAAGCACCCCCACATACAGATCATCTGTCGCCAGCCACGAAACGAGCTGAGAGGATGATTTCCTGTTTCGCTAAATCTAAAGCTCGTCTCATATTTGAGCTTTAAGTGGCCCAGGCATTTAAGTATGAAAGTACAGTGTTGAGAGGCCTGATGGGGACGTCACTGGAAATACAGGGCACAAAACGGAAGTGAACGCCATCACACACAGAATCAGTAGCACGGCACAAGAGTCAAAGCAGCTTCACAAGCAATAACGATAACGCTGGAAAATCCCATCAACGTGACAAATGCCAGTTTACAGATCAGATTACTTCACTTCTGTCCTTTTTTAAATTTGATGAACAGGTCTGTGCAAAACTGGCATTGAAAGAAATAAACATGATATACAGAGGTATCTGACAAATCCCTCATGAAATCAACAGCAAGACGGATCTCCACTTTGAAAAAGAAATCTTGTTATCAAATAGTGCCGTGTAGTGTCTTTGCACTCGCTAGCTGGAGGTTAACTCGTCAAAAAACACCGCTTGGACACAACCACAGTGCGAGTGCTGCATTGGGCGAGCCTATACACCAGCGACCTCAAACAGGAAGCTCAGGATGACACTATGTCAAACTAGGCCACTATTTTAATGCCACTGTGTATGTCCTCACACGTTCTGCTTCGGCTTGCGTTGCTGTTAAAATTCAAACAGGTGATGAGACTGGTGTCATCACTGCTGAGTCTACAGGTCGACCACAGTTACTCCACGCACACTACGCTCAATTGACGGATGTCGCAGACGACTTCCTGGATCACGGCCCGCAGCAGATAGCTCCTATAAACTTGACTTTACCAAGATGTTTTCTTGTATCTAATAGTTATTTCCATTTTCGTGTAAAACGTAAAAAAAAAAAAAAAAGCCTCACACAATCTGAAATGCTTTATCTTGTGTTTTTTTTTTTTAA